TGGCCTACCGGCAAATCTCTAAATCGTCAAGAGATTCAGACTCAGTAAGAACTCAGCAAATATCCGATCTTGTCCGGTCTCTTAACATACGTTAGTAAGCATTGCGTCACAATAGATTTTACTCTATTGCCAGACACATCCAAATATCAATATCCCTTATCTTCGCATAACTTCGGTGATCGCTCGAAATTTCGATCCTCTATTTCCAACCATAGCTGGAGCCTAACTTAAATACGTTTAAACTACTAAAAAATTATCACGTTCGTAATTAATTAAAATATTATTATTATATAAAGTCTATTAAAATTATTACGTCAGTTTATAATAAGGTAAATCATCATTGAGTCCATCATTATTCAACACATGTTTTATATGTATAACGACGCGATTATAATCGATCTTATTACATCATGAAAAAAAATGAGAAAGAAATGCTTATGGTAATATTGAAAAAAACGCCGTCTTTTATTGGATTACAAGCTCGATTAACCTGATTTCAGCGGTTTTAAGGTCTATTGGTTGGTAGAATGTTTACTTTCAATGTCGCTTATTCTCTTTAATTTTTATACTAATTGGTTTTTATATTGATTCTTTTATTAATAAAAACAAAAGCGTTATTATTAATTGAAACAAAAATACAGAAAAGTACAATATTTAAACGTAATGTTATTACGGTTTTAGTTCTATCAGTTTTGTTTAGTATAACTATATTTTTCTCTAAGCTACTAAAAAATATATTAAAGGGAGCGTTAATTAATTACGTGAAGGGTTTAGAAGGGGGAAGGGGTCAAGCTGAATCTCACTAAATATGATACGGGGGAGAGAGCGGTTTTCGGCAAATATCATCGGCACGAAAAACGGGCACCTCAAAATATTTATATATTTTAAAATTTTATATATTTTGTTCAAAGGTGCCCGCTGGCGTAGAGGTACAGGTCACGTCTTACCATTTCAAAGGTTGTGGGTTCGAATCCCACAGCCGGCATTTCATCAGCCGACTATTTTTCATAAAATAAAAATAGATTGGGTACCTAGGTCGACTCAGCCTTAAATGAGTACTGAGTACTTGGAATTCACAATCCTGAGGTAATAATAGGCGGTTGAAGCGTAGTACTAGGCCACATTACTTTCCTTGTATACGGAACGGCTCTAGTATGGCAAGCTGTACCTTGCTACTCCCAAGGCGTTAAACGCTATATACGGGAGCTATTATTATTATATATTTTGTATTAGTGTACCGATTTTGGTGATTTTTTAAACAATTTGTAGCTAAATTATTTGAATTTTTAGTATCTCTTTCTAAATGAAAAATTTAGTGGATGGAAACTTTCATTTTTAATTTAAAAAAAGATACTAAAAAGTCAAATAATTTAGCTACAAATTGTTTAAAAAATCACCAAAATCGGTACACTAGTACATAATATATAATAATAATAGCTCCCGTATATAGCATTTAACGCCTTGGGAGTAGCAAGGTAAAAAATCATCAAAATCGGCCCACTAGAACAAAATATGTTAAACTTTAAAATACATCAAAAGTTTAAGGTGCCCGTTGTTCGTGCTGGTGAGTGTATACAGGGTGGTCCGAAATGTATTCCGGAAACTTCGGCAGCATATTCTGCAGATAAAATTAAGTAATTTATTTCGTATGAATGTCTTAAAATTCATAGTTTCGGAGATGCAGGTGTAGAAGTTTCATTTTTATTTCGGATTTTTCCAAATAAGTTCCGAACTATAGTTGATATTTAGAAAAAAAAATCAGCATCGACTTTTTTGACATAAAAAATGTCTCTTGGTAAAAATCGCTATGAATAATGGTTCTCGAGATATTTGGAATCGAAATTATCAATTGACATAAATTTGACATGTTGACTAAATAGTTATTAGACCGAAATAATAAATTTGAAATTTTTTTGAGCCAAAAGTTCGACAGAAACTATTTTATCATAATTTTTTTGAAGACATGATTTATCGATAAAAATAAAAAGTTTCCAAATTCATCACGCCAGTTAAATAACTGTCTACTCAACATATGTTTACTTTTTGTCAATAATGACATGTATTGACTATTTCCATTCTAAATATCTTGAGAACGGTTGCTCGTAACGATTTTTACCAAGAAACATTTTTTTAAAATTAAGTAAAAAATCACAGAAATGTGTATTTTTTCACACAGTAGGGGATTTTATACAGATACGGATAAGATTCTTCAAAACAGTTAAAACACACGTAGGTGGCGCCCTCTACATATAGGAGTCATACATCAAAATCAAATTTCTCATGGCAAACTCTCAGATACCAATTGTCATCCAAATATTTACATTACTTCAGAAATTATTTTGAAAAAATCGAAATAAAAATTAAACTTCTACACTCTGTATCTCCGAAACTAAGCATTTTAGGACATACATATATAGAAGTTTTTTACTGATTTTTATCTGCCAAATATGCTGCCGAAGTTTCCGGAATACAGTTCGGACCACCTTGTATATTAAATAATTTTACTGGTTAAACAAAAATAATTACATTTGTTAAGCATTAGTAAAGCATCATTACCAGAGTATAATTTTATTATCATTATCATTTTTATAGAATAACAGCTTTGTGTCGAGTTCTATTACTCTAATATCGGGATACATCATAATACAGGGCGAAAGTTTTTAAAGTAGCAATCGGGAAAAAATATACTTCTTCTATACGTCTTTTTCGTGAAGGTTGGCGATCACATTGGAAAGTTCTTCACGATTGTCGGCTTTTCTCATAACTTCTTTAAAAGTAACGTGAGTTCAATTTCTGATGTTTCTCAATCAAAATAGTTTCTTCCTGCCGAGACCTCTTTTTCCTTCAATTTTTCTCTTAACTATTAATTGGAAGACGTGATATTTTTCGTTTCTCAATAATTTTTTCTATATGCCCTAGATAAGATGGTTTTCTTATTTTTATTTTATCGAGTAGTTCTCTTTCTCTATCTATATAATATATTTTTTTGTAAACTTTGGTATTTGTGATATAAACTGTCTAAGGAATTTTTTGGAAATATATGGAAAATGTTTCGAACGATTCAAGGCGATTCATCTCTTGAACTTATGAAATGTTTTTGAGTTTGATTTGACTACAGTATTTAAGAATTACATGAATGGAAGTGAAATGACATTATATCTACAGAAATAATAATCAAAACAATGAAGAATATCAAGTTTCTCTTAATTCACATATGTTCATATGCTTTAGACAAAATATACCGGACGGTGCTACTGCAAAAACTAACTTGTGAAACATTATGTTGCATTTTTGCACGTCCCATTGTACAGAATTTGTTGCCCACTTTGCTAAAGAGATAGTCGCACAACGTCAAAGCTCAGATTTTTTACAAAAAAAAACAGTTAAGCTTTCAAAAATGTAACCAAAACCATAAGGCTATAACTTATAATTAAATAACTGTGGTGTTTTCCCATCCACGGTTGGGGTTTAGCCCTCCGTGCCTTTCACAGTCAAGGAGCTTGTGTCCGGTTGAGTTACTCTTGATATGAAGGTGGGAGAATCAGTCTCCATTTTCTCCACCTCCTTAACTTGGTCTCTTCTTAGACCTGATACAGGTGTTGTCCCCGATCTATAATAGAGGGATCTATAATAGAGGATATATCTCTCTTTGAGTTGTCTTAATATGAATGACAAACAAATAAACAATAGAGGAAATTACCCAAATATGGAATAATCTCTAATATGGAATACCGCCATTTCTCGGAAACAAATACGCCTAATCGCAAAAGACAGTGATTTTTAATGTGTTTCCATTATTATACTCAAGTGCAGGTTTTGCCTTGTCATTCAAATAATCTCTTCTTCATAAATATGTTTCCTTATTCTAAAATGGTTAATTCCGTTTATACTTGTCAAAAGAGATTTCTATGATAATATAATTTCATTTTCATTCTTTGATAGATTCTTGTTGATAGAATTTTAATTAAGGTAATAATATAAAATGGTTAATCCTGTTTATATTTTTTCAAGTGTTTCTCCAAAATGAAAAATGAAAAAAAAAACATGAAAATATGATTGAATTTTTACTAAGTCCTACAAATCAAATGGCGTTTCTATGGTAATATAATTTCGATTTCATTCTCTGATGAATGGTTATTATTAATTTTGAGTCAAATTTTTTGGTGTTGTTAACTGTTGATTAACTATTATCACCCTTCCCGTAGGTAGCATTGAACTAAATAAATTTTGTGCTTTTTTAACATTTTAAAATAGCAAAAATATGACGTTAATTATAATTATATCAATAACAATCTACCAAATGAAGACGAAATTATACAACCATAGAACCGCATTTTGATTTTTAGGACATCTTTAGGAGAAATCATAGAGAAATTCAACTATATTTTCATTTTTTTTAATTTTCTCTGTAGAATGTAGAATGTTTAGGAGGGGAGTTAATCACCGCGACCTTATAAATCTATTGTGTGTTCCCGTTTCTTGAGTTGTAACGAGTTATAACTCATCATACAGTCTCAGTTTGGTTAGGTTAGGTGATTCCCCTCAGCACCTGACCAGGAGCTTCCCCACCAACAATATCTTGCATCTCCTAGGAGAAGTTAATTTTCTCTAAAACGGTATGGAAATTTGGAAAAGTATAAACGGGATTAACCATTTTAAAACAAGCAGAAATGTATATGAAGAATGCATTTTTCTCAAAATGTCAACAATAAAAAAGTTTTTTCCTCTTGTAAAGACAATCCGGGGACATACGGGTAAATATATTTTTTCCTTATTGATGGTAAATGGTTTCAAAGCCTATTTAAACTAAATGCTCGATTTCTTGAAGAGATTGTCTACGAATTTTACGTAACACCCAACGAACGCATCGCAGATTCTCTCCTCCTCGGCCCGGTGGTACTCTATGGTACGTTACGGGCGTTAGGCGCGGATGTGGAAGTGAAACCACTGGCACTAAGCGCTACCCGTGGTGGTGGTGCCCGATCGAAAAATACCTAGAAAGTGTGCTTCTGGTACGTATATAAAGCTGCCAAGGAGATTGACACCAAGCAAAGTGTTGCACGTCTTCGTATATACGTCGATGATGAAGACCTTGGTAAGTTGATAAGGTTATGACAGGGAAAAAAAGGTTCTGTCAAGCATAGATTCGGCGCTAACAGTGATATACTAGTGTAATTCGAGGTGACTGAGTGTGGTTTAGTGCGGATAAAGGACTCAATAAAAAAAATTCGAAGTGAATTTTCTCTGGAATACTTGTATTGCGTAACTTTTGATCTCAGACATATACAGTATGTCCCCGGATTGCCTTTACAAGAGGAAAACCTTTTTGTTATTAGCATTTTGAGAAAAATGCATTCTTCCTAAAAATGTTTTAAAATGGTTTAACCCCGTTTATACTTTTTCAAATTTCCATACCATTTTAGAGAAAATTAAAGAAAAACATGAAAAGATGGTTTAATTTTAATTGATAATATAATTTCTATTTCATTTTTTGATAGATGGTTTTCACTAATTTTGATTAGTTTTTGCTGTTGTTAAAGTATTACATTTTTCGATAATTATCACCCGTTCCGTACCATTGAATTAAATAAATTTTGTGATTTAAAATTTTAATAGCAAAAAATATGCCCTTATTAAATTAAAATTCTATCAATAACAATTTATCAAAGATTAAAACGAATGATATTACCATAGACACATCTTTTGATTTTTAGGACTTTCAACTTTTTTAGGAAAACATTCAGCTATATTTTCATGGTATTTTTAATTTTCTCTAAAAAGGTATGGAAATTTGGAAAAGTATAATGGGGACTGCCTATTTTAGAACAAGGAATTTTTTTATGAAAGATGCATTTTTCTCAAAATGTCGATAATAAAAAAAATTTTCCATTTGTAAAGACAATCTGGGGAGATACTGTAAGTACTAAAAATATTAAGCAATATTTTTCATCAAATCATTCATAAACAAAATGATTTTTATTCTTTTTCATCACTAGTTTTTTTATCATTACTTAGATTTTGAATAAAACGACACTCTAGGGACTCTGGTGGCAACTTTATATAATTTACATACAAATGGGTTACTAAGCTTTTTTATTATCTCTATTTTTAATGTATAAAATGAGTAAAATTAAAAGTCTGCTCAGAAAAAAAATCTTTTAAGTAGATACTAACTTTTTATTTTGCATTTATAATTCCAATTTAAAATCCAAGTAAAAAATTATTGTTATATGTACATAATACTAAAATGAAAAAATAGATATGGCAAGTAAAATAATAGTCAATGAAAAAATGCAATAATTACATAATAATAATATAATTAAATGAAAACAATATAATTAAAAAAAAGATAAAAGAAAATAAAAAATATTATTTTTTTCTATAATAACTTCACATATTAGTTCACATATAGTTCATTAAACTTATCGAATCCATAATGAGTTGAAATTATCCTCCAACTTTTTAAGAAGATGAAGTAATGAAACAAAGTGCTTATATTATAAAATTCAATTTGAAAATATTCAAGCATAGTAAATAGGCATTGTATAATATAATAGGAACCTATAATTCCAAAATAACATAATAGGTTTTTTAATTATATTTTATGATAGCTCCCATATACAGGGTGGTCCAAACAGTATTCCCGAAACTTCGGCAGCATATTCTGCAGAAAAAAATCAGTAAAAAACTTCTATAAATGTATGTCCTAAAACGCTTAGTTTCGGAGATACAGAGTGTAGAAGTTTAATTTTTATTTCGATTTTTATAAAATAATTTCTGAAGTAACATCAATATTTGGATGACAATTGGTATCTGAGAGATTTTTGCCATGAGAAATTTGATTTTGATGTCAATATGACTCCTATATGTAGAGGGCGCCACCTACATGTCTTTTAACTGTTTTGAAGAGTAACAAATTCGTCGGTATCTGTATAAAACTACTAAGTAAAAAATATACATTTATGACGTTTTTTACTTAAAAAAGGTCTCTTGGTAAAAATCGCTACGAGTCATTGGTCAATCGAGATATTTGGAATCTAAATTATCAATAACTGTCACAACATAATTTACAAAAATATACATCTTGACTAAATAGTTATTAGATTGAAATCATAAATTTGAAATGTTTTTGTGTCAAAGGTTCAACAGAAACTGTTTTATCATCATTTTTTCATTAACAAAAATTTATGATTAATTTAAAGAAATAAAGTTCCCAAATTTATCATTTCAGTCAAATAACTATCTACTCAACATGTTTATTTTTTGTTAATAATGGCATGTATTGACTATTTTCATTCTAAATATTTTCAGAACGGTTGCTTGTAGCGATTTTTACCAAGAGACCCTTTTTACCTAAAAAGACCGTAAATGTATATTTTTTTACTATGTACTTTTATACAGGTACGAACAAAAATTTATTGACTACGGAAAGATAAACTTTCTGAAACGTGAAGCATTTTTTTCTTTGTTAGGCAAATTTGTATAACATAATGTTAAACATAACTTCTGACATGCAGTATTTTCTTGCAGTGCAGTGGAGAAATACCCATAAAGGATTTTTTTTGGAGAAAAAGTTATTACTCTTCAAACCAGTTAAAAATCTGTAGGTGGCGCCCTCAACAAGTAGGAGTTATGTTTACATCAAAACCAAATTTCTCATGTCAAAAAAAATTCCCTAATACCAATTTTCATCCAAATATTGGCATTACTTCAGAAATCATTTGGACAAAATCAAAATAAAAAAGGAATTTCTATACCCTGTATCTCCAAAACTAAGCAGTTTAGGACATATATTTATACGATTTTTTTTACTTATTTTTATCTGCAGAATATGTTTCCAAATTTTCCCGAATTTTCGAAGTTCGGACCGCCCTGTATATTTTAATTATCTCATTTGTATTCACGAATCAGTAACTTTGAGAGAAATTTACGAAATGTTTATAAGTAGGTTTCTTAAACAAATACTAGTTAAAATTAACAATTTGAGCGTAAAAGGAATAATTACAATTACTACTCTTAAAACTTAAAGGCCATATAGCATTTCTAAAGAAATAAATTTAAAATATCGTTTGTTATATGTATAGAAAAATTTGTGGGTATTTTTAAAATACTAGCTGACCCGTTTAACTTCGCACCACCTAAAGCTTGATTTTCATGCATCCGTTGTCCGACGATACGATGATACGATATTAATTTCATTGGTTTTATTTAAAGGCTTCGATTGGTTAACCGTTTCTAATCAACCGAAGTCTTTAAATTCAACCAATAAAATTAATATCGTATCATCGTATCGTCGGACAACGGATGCATGAAAATCAAGCTTAAAAATTAAAAAAAAAACATGAAAAGATGGTTTAATTTTAATTGATAATATAATTACTATTTCATTTTTTGATAGATGGTTTTTACTAATTTTGATTAGTTTTTGCTGTTAAAGTATTAAATTTTTCGATAATTATCACCCGTTCCGTGGCATTGATTTAAATAAATTTTGTGCTTTAAAATTTTAATAGCAAAAAATATGACCTTATAAATTAAAATTCTATCAACGACAATTTATCAAAGATTAAAACGAAAAGATATTACCATAGACGCATCTTTTGATTTTTAGGACTTTCAACTTTTTTAGAAAAAAATTCAACCATATTTTTTCATGGTATTTTTAATTTTCACTAAAACGGTATGGAAATTTGGAAAAGTATAATGGGGACTGACTATTTTAGAACAAGGAAATTTTTTTATGAAGGATGCATTTTTCTCAAAATGTCGATAATAAAAAAGTTTTTCCTTTTGTAAAGACAATCTGGGGAGATACTGTAGGTATTAAAAATATTAAACAATATTAATATATAAATATATATATAAATCATTTATAAACAAAGTGATTTTTATTCTTTTTCATCACTAGTTTTTTATCATTACTTAGATTTTGAATAAAACGACACTCTAGGGACTCTGGTGGCAACTTTATATAATATACATACAAATGGGTTACTAAGCTTTTTTATTATCTCTATTCTTAATGTATAAAATGAGTAAGATTAAAAGTCTGCTCAGAAAAAAATCTATCTTCTAGTACTAACTTTTTGTTTTACATTTATAATTCCAATTTAAAATCCAAGTATAAAATTATTGTTAAATAAAAATAAGATAAAAAAATCTACATAAACAAACTAACAACATCAAATAATACTAAAATGAATAAATAGATATGGCAAGTAAAATAATAGCCAATGAAAAAATGCAATAATAAGATAATAATAATATAATTAAATGAAAATAATATAAATAAAGAAAGATAATTTTTTTTTCTATAATAACTTTACATATGGCATGTTCATTAAACTTATCGAATCCATATTGAGATGAAATTATCCTCCAACTTTTTAAGGAGATGAAGTAATGAAACAAAGTACTTATATTATAAAATTCAGTTATTCAAACCTCCATTTTTCTCTACACAAATATCGGATACGTCATAAAATTCAGCACATAGTACATTATTTTTATTTGAAGGAGTATACAATGCTGGCATGGGCATTATTTCTTATTAACTAAAAATTTGATTAACAATAGTGTATCCGAGAAGTGGTTAAAACCTACAGTATACTTAACTTTATTAGTACTTAGCTATAAGATAACAGAAAAAATTCATTAAGGAAAACTCGTTTTTCTTATGACGCGGTCAACATTGTAATATTTAAAATGCCATATCTCACTTTTTTAAAATCACAGAGCAACAACCTGTATATTATTTTCCTTTTAGATGGAGAATTAAAAATGATTTTTTTTATATTTAAAATATTTCAAAATTTCTAGCGGTTTCGCAGATATTCGCGTTTAATATTAGATCTTTCAACAGTAAATTTTCAAAATCCAAGCCACTTAAATGATATTTGTTTAGTATTTTACCAGTGAAGCCTCCCATATGTATCTAATATAATACAGCAAATATCTGCAAAACCTTGGCAAAACCGCTAAAAATTTAGGAACATTTTAAATACAAAGAATGTGTATTGTCTAATTCTGCATTCTAAAAGAAAAATAATAATATAGAGGGCGTTGTATTTAAAAAATAGAGATAAAACATTTCAA